GATTGAATGTCAACTATTGAAATTATACAAAAATTTTGAGGGTATGGGTGATAGGGTGTATCTTCTTTTCACCCACATCCAGCTAGATTTCAGATTCTTCTAATTCTTCATTTCGATTTGTTGTTTCTTCTTCAAAAATCAGAGAACAAAATAGTTTACTGATATTTTGATTGCACATTTAACTTAATTTTGTACTTGCAGTAATAGCTTAACGTTAGTCGTTTGATATATATGGTCCGCTTCAAATTTTCTGGTAGACCCATTCAAAAGTATTGCAAATTAGTGGAGAACTATCTAAATATGAATCTAAAAATGAAAAAAAAACTATGAAATCAAGAACATTGAAAGAAGAAAATGCAAGAAAACATCATCAATCATAACTTGAGCATACAGTTTGTCTGAATAATATATTCGAATATTTTTTTATCTATTTGTTATTCTAACAAGTTCTGTTGAATGGGAAATTACTGCAACCTACTCCGTTATCTGTAGTGATAGATCAAATTTTATTGTTAATTTTTAATCTTTTCTCTGAAATAATAAATTGACGAAATGATATTACTACTGATATATATCCAAAGTCTTTATCATAATAATGTGCTGTAATGCAAACAAATGAACACGAAAGGGACTAGATGATGAATTCGTAGTTTACCAAATTAGACTTTCCAGTATAGACCATATAAAGTTATCATTCGTTTTTTTACTGTTCTTCGATGTGGATCTTTATAATTTGTATCAGGTAAAACAACTTGATGAAAATGTTGAAAGTCAACCTTTTGAAAATCGCGTGTCGAATAACTATATAAGTTAGTGTCAGAATAAGTTACTTATTTATGAGCCTAAACAAGAAACATTCGACAGTATTTTTCTGTAACTATCATTTACGTATAATCTTACCGTAGAAGAAATTTTTAGTACTATCACATAGTTTATAATAGTATCCACTCGTATTTAGTTTCTTAAAATATTGATTTATTAATTCGTGTATTATAATTGTTATCATCGACGGAATTGATTGGATTACTATCGTCGTATTTTTGTGATACTTCCATGATTTTTGTAGCGGTAGAAGTAGGCAATGTGTTTAACTGATTAATACAGGACGTAACAAAATTATAGGCTTCCAAATATATATTTATTTAAAGAAATGAAGAATTATGAACAAGAATGAAAACTTTTAAGATTAATCACTTGTGGAAGTCATTTCGATATGGATCCAAAGCGTTTTTGATCATGAATAGACCAGATGTTTTTAATAGTGTTTAGATCTGGTCTATTTGCTGGCCAAGGAATTAATGGAACACGTTGTTTCTAAAAGTATTCATTTGTTTGAATTGAATATTTTTTGATTATTGAGATGAAAACTTTTGACGTGCAGTTGATAACTGATTTTTGAGCAAGTCGATGTATTTGACTGAATTCAGACATCCTTCATAAATAACTAATATGGTCAACGACTTATGTACTCATTGTTGATATCGTTCAGATCGCGTCGAATCAGTTTGGAAGTGACGTATATATATATACATATATATTCGATTGTTTCGATTCCATATATTTTAATATTACTTTCATCTGAAAAAATTACGTTTGAGCAATATTTTACTCATCAATTAAAATGTTCGTAAGACCATTCAAGCAATTTGCGTCTTTCTATACGTGCTATTATAAGTTTTCGAGGTGCAATGTAAGACACCATATTAAATTCGTGATGGATACGACTTACGGTTTGACTCATACACTGACAATACATGTTGAGACATACTAGTGTCGTGCAAAGCAATGATATGATTATTCTTTTTATCGATGTCAACACGTTTTCTTCCCATTATTTAGTATAGAATACAATGCATTTTACAATAGTAGATGGAGTAAACTTGAAAGACAAGAAATGAATATGATTGAATTATTTATATCGAACGAAAATGAATTCAACATTAACATTCATGGCAAAAAATACTTTCTTTTCTTTTAGCAATCATGTTGTATCGTTTGGGGTATTTTCATCAGTTTGGAGAATTCATTATCAGACATCTCTCGAGAGAATATTAAAAGAATCAATTTTATTCAGAGGGAATCATTTCGTATGCTTTCTAAAAAAAATGAAATCGAGATTAGTATCATAGTCATATAAAGATCGGATATATTTTCGAAGTTTTTTTCTATTTAAAAACCGATATTGACTAGGATTTTTGGCAAGTTTTTCGTAAAAACTGAATTTTGTCAAAATATTTTCTATCCGGTGTAGATTTTTTTTGTATAGCTTTCTTACTTAGCGAAACAATTAGGATCCCTACTGAGTCACTACGCACATCTTTTTCACTTTAAGTAACGCATCAAAAGATGCGGATTTTTTAAGAGCTTGCGTAATCTCGTTTCACATTTTCCTTGTTACGGCATGATCAGCTTATTATTTTGAAACCATGATTTTAACGATATAATATCTTATTTGAGCAAAAACATCCAAAAAACACAGTTTAGCAATGATCGGTTTGTTTCTGAAAAACATTTTTCAATGCTTACTGTTTTTGGTTTTGCATTATTATTACTAATAGTACGTACTTCCGCCACGATTATCATATTCTCGTATATCAATAAGATCAATACGTAAAGATGATTTAAGAATTTTATTTAAGAGTGCGGGTTTTAAACCCAGACGAACCTACATCCACACATCCAGAAAGGCACTTCGAAGCATCGTGACTCATACACATCATCGCTGTCAGTTTGAAACTTGAAAGTTGAAAATTTCAATTTCCAAGCTTGACACTACTGAATGGGCTTACAAGTCAGATTTTTAGATTCATAATACTATTTTTTCAATGCCCACAGTATGACAAGAAGTATCTATACATCATCTCGAATATTTACAAATATGAAGCAATCTGGCAATACCATTAAGCAAGTTCAAAACGCTTCGTAGTTTTCTTCAAATAAACACCGACACCCGCATTTAAACCTACATCCACCAAATAAAACATCATTCAGCAATAGGTTCGCTCGGAAATGAGAACCAGTAAGAGTATGACATATTGCTCTAACAGATGTATAATGAGAAAAAGTCATTCAATAAAGCAAAGGTCATTTCTTTTATTTTGAATCACATGTGAAAAATAGGCACCCACATCATTGTTCTCTTCATAAAACTCATTCTTTTAGGTGGAAGACAGAGATAAAAAACGCCTGCTATTTTTCCTTGTTTGAGATTCATAGAGAACATATTTACTTTGTCTTTTTCTAACATTAATGTTTATCGTGCTATATAATATGTTAGTTAACTAATAAATCGGAGAAGAAGAGAGAGAGAAAAAAGTGGTATATTAATAACAGTAAAAAGAAAGAAACTATATTTATATACTTTTACATCAACACGGTAATGGAAAAGATAAAAGTAGATAATCAACATATAGTGGATGACAATAAAATAGAGAGATTGAGAAATAATGGGGTTCAAAATTTGCAGAGAAAGGGAAATCCATCAATCTTCAACGCTGCGGGTAAGGTAAAACTCGACCAAAAGTCGTATGATGTTAAGATTAGGATTTGAGAAACAGTCATTTTGCTTGCTATGTGCATTTTCGAGCTCATTCAAACCGATAATGCAGTATGATTAACTTGGTCACAATCTATGGTCAAAGATATTATTAAATTTAAAGTTCATTACTTTGAAATACTCCCTTCGAAAAGAGATTACTATCAAGTAAGTGTGTACGTGTGGGTGACATGCTTTCAATTCACAGTCACTCACACTCCTTAATCATAGAATATGGAAGTCTCCATAAACAGAACACAATCGACCTATGCAAGAATACATACTTGAGAGAATACATCCTATTCCGCAATGTTGAACATTTCAGAACCAATTCCAACTAATTCCGACGATTCCGCTTATCACTTCCAACACACTTCCGAAATTCCAGAAATCACTGCCTACCAATTCCATCTGATTCCCGAAATCCCGTTTATCCTTTCCGACTCAATTCTGGAATTCCTCGGGATTCCGCCTAATTCCCATAGATTCCGGAATTCAGTGCACCCGCACTGACATCCACACCCACACCTTACAATTCCTTTACGGAATTCCAGGAATTAGGTCGAACAGGAATTGAACGGAATTCCGCGTAATTCCCAGTGGTTCCGCTTTCGTCTAATTTCGGAATTGGACTGAATTCCGTACAATTCCTGGAATTGAACAAACTAATTCCGAAATCGGAGAGTGCTCAGGCTTGACTTAGTTCTGGAATTGACGAAACTGATCCCGAGGATGTAACTGGCGCCGGAATGTTCAACATTGCGGAATAGGATGGCTGCTCATATTTGAGGGGCACAATTGAACAGAATAATTAATGTCCATATTAGCAATATCCAGTTTAAAGAACTAATAGCACAGAGGAGGAATAGAATATTACTTTTAAGATTGATAGATCTCTCTTCCTTTCACTTTTTTAGATAAATTGGACAAGCACACTCTAGTGTTTTAATCAATGATTATCTGTTTCATTTTCAGTTGTTTCTTTTGAGGTCATGTGTATGCATGAATAATTGCATAATCAATCCTAGGCGCCGAATGTTTTAATTCTTTATTAACTATAATAATCATTTAAATGTAAAATATAAGATAAATTAATTTCTTCATTAAATCATCAATTAACGATATATAAGAAGAAAATATCTTATATGAAGTGATTCTTACCGTACATTAATAGACAATAATGTTAATTGTTTTGACATTTCAACCAGTTGTTTATCATCAAATTGAGATATTATAAATCATAGTGTATCATTTGTAATACGATGATACGCCAACAATTCATTTATTGAGTTTTTAAGTATAAGTTAAGTTTCGTTTTGTTTGGGTATAAGGGCTGAGAAGCATATAATTATCGATCGATTTTGTATAATGTTTAATTTCCATATTTTTTCTTTAATGTTCCTTTTTTTTAGAAAGAACGTGTTTACTGTAAAGCTAGTATTCAAAATTGAAATTTAATTCCATAATGGGCATTATTTTTCCTTGTATTGATGGTGGAAAAACCGGTTTGATTCGTACAGTGGCTTTTGGTTACCATGTTGATCCAGCACAAGTGACTATCGTCTCTCAAATGAATAATTTTGGGCAAGGAGCTTATGAAGTCATATTTCCTGGTCTCATTACACCCATTCGTTATGATCGTATGGGCACTGTCTTCATGCGCCATGCGAGTGCACCTCCATTACCTCATGTACAGGCCAATAATGCCACTCCTGAAGGCACACCATCAAACCATCCAGTCATTCAATATGCAGTATCCTAGGAGAATGAATCCTAGACTAGGATCCGATAAGTTCCGATCGGTTCCTATTGGAGTCCGACGGAGCTCTTCGGAAGGCGCAAGGAAACTATCGGATTATCGTCGGATTCCTGGTTCCGGAATCGATATCGGATCCTAATATCGGAAACTAATAAAATAAGGACATGGTAAATTCCTATTTCCAGGAAATTCAAATAACTTCGCTTCGAGAAAGCTTTTTAGCTAATTCGTTTGAAATCCCAAGTAGTTATCTATAATTCTTTGGGTTGGGTTAAGTAAGGAAAGTTCCAAGTAATACTCTGTAATTCTTTGGGTTGCATCGGTTTTGTTTGAGTTAGAGAGTTCAATATTGGTTAAAAGCCTGTATAATATGTATATCTGTTGAGAATTGTTACTGTTCTCATAAATTCTCATCCAGAGCCAACATAATAAAATGGTTTCTGTTTAAGGATTTCTTCGTTATTGCTTCTTTCAGTTTCATTTACTGTAATGATATTTCATTCGAAGAATTTGAAGAAAAAATTTTGTAGAAAGTCAACTGTATGATTCCAATGAATTTATAAAAGATGGAATGCATGTTGTAAAATAAGAGAAACTTTATAAGAAGTACACTAGAAATGAATATGTCATTTTGAAGATTTAGAATATCATAAACAAGTGATGAAAATAGTTGCCATGTTTTTCTTATCTTTGAATAACAATAAATTGCAACGACTTCCTTCCTTCTTATCACTACTGGCTGTTTATTTTAAAATTTTTTGTTCGGTTGGCATTTACTCAAAATATTCAAGCTATGAAGAATGTAAGTTTTCTAATAAATCTGAATGTCATGTCCGTAACTAAACGTTGTCTATACTTGCGAGCATTTCATTTTCCATTCTCTTCTCTCTATCGGCAAGAGAAAGAAAGTGGGGTAATGCGGTCAGCTATTTCGCTGGCACTTTTTGTGAATAGATAGAACGTTTGAATACGTAATAGTTTATTACGTTCTAGGAAAAAATAAGACTGAATTGGAACAATGAGAATTATTCATATTAAAAAAATCACATTTTCCGTTATAATTTTCGACTTGAGTTTGATTCAAAGTAATCGTTATTTTCCTTCGAACGAAAATCAGGATGTGGGTGTGATTTTACCCTATGATGCCCACCCCGAACTCCGGCAAGTGAAATTACAAGGATTGATATGTCTTCAATATCCGTTGTGGAAAACTTCAACAAAATACATCTCATAAAAGGGTGTGAAAGTGGGTGTTGGTGTTAATTAGAGTAAATATAGGCCCACACCCGATATCAAAATTCTTTTGAATTTATTTAATGAATTCTTATTCAAGATGCTTCTTTTTATTGATAAATAAATTAACTATTGGTGTAAGTTTTTAGAAAATCATAACAATCCATGGCATCAAACACAAAGACGAAAAACGTCAATGAACAGGTTTCAGCGTATGAAGACCTAAATGTGGCAAATATTTTCATATAATATCATCCAAAAAAAAGTCAATCCTACCGAAAGCTGCAGAAGGTATAGGTGGATTATTTCTTGCACCAATATGATTAACATCCTGTAATTTATTCAAGAGCTTTTTTAATTAAATAATGTTGATCTACGAGAATTATAGAAAAAAATAAACTCACCTGATATTCTACCTGATATACTAAAAAACAGAGACAACGAAGAAAATAAGATATAAAATAAACAGGTCTATTTACCAATGTTTACATCTTCAGAAAGCATTTTTCGTGTAAAGAACGCAAAAAGCTGCTTTGTTTTAGCTGGAATTACATCAACCATATGAAACGTTTTTCGAGAAGATACAACATTGATTGATCCTTGAAAATCAGTTGTAAAACGAATTGTTCGATTAGATTTATTTTCACAAATAAAACCAAAACCTCTAAATAGAAATAAAAATAAAAATACAAAAATAAGAATATATTTCTTTACCCATTATCATTAAATGTTAAAATCGACACGCCATCTTCAAAATCTTTTCGATTATTAGCTCGAAGAGCAACTGCATGAAATGCATTACAAACTAATTCATATGATGATGGTTGTTCATTAACAACAAATGGTTGATCACCATGCACAACTAAAGTATATTTTGAACAGATCGAATAATTAATTGCTGACATTGAACCAGCTAAAATAATATATCGACCAGGTGGTACTGTTGTTGATAATGTTGTATAATAATCAAGGCTATGTTTATATGCTTGGCAAGAGCCATTTGAACTGAGTACAATTAAGAAAAGATCAATATCGAAATTTGTTAAACGATTATTATATTTTGCATCGGTTGCATTAAATAATTCAATGTCGATTTCACCTCCATTCGGACAATGAAGACTATATGCCGATGTTATTTTAGAAGAAAAATCACTAAATTGACCTGTTTTACGAACCTAGGTTTAAAAACAAAAAACTTTATTCTTAAAAATAAACAAAATATAAAACTAACTTCATGTTCATTTCCACTGATCTTACAAATAGTAACTTCGCTGAAGAGCGAAGATATTTCTTCCAAAGCTATTTAGCAAAACAAAAAAAACATCTATTGATGATTTTATTTCCAAAAAAAACCGAATACATACACATCCAGAAAACGCCATCGTTATTGGAAGATGTAACAAATTTTTCGTTAAGAATTCTTGGCCATTTATCACTGAGTGAAGTATTCAATTCTTTTTTACCCCATGGATTACGTAAACGAACAAGTCTTTGCGAACCAACTTGCCGCGCATCAATAATACTATAGGCATGATCTAACTCCAGACCTATTAAAAGGAAAATAGAAATTAAAATAGCGAATATCCCATAATAAATGGACGATTTGCATATATTTCATATTTTAATCTCGAAATATGTTTACTAAAAAAACAGAATATGCCATAAGATACAGCGTGGGAAGCTCTACAAAGTAAAGTTTATTTTCAACAGCAGCAAAATTCTGTGAGATTGCTTTTTTGTACCGTCAAAAGTAGATTCCACAGAATTTTGCTTGTGTTGAAAATAAATGATTAAAATAAATTTTACTTTGTAGAGCTTTCCACGCTGTATCTTATGGCATATTCTGTTTTTTTAGTAAACATATTCCGAGATTAAAATATGAAATACAAAAGTCAGTCATTGATTTAATTTACCCATTCGATGAAAAAGTTCTCCATTAAGTTGGTTATTCGAAGCTAAACATGTCATAAGATATCCTAAATTAATTCTTACTTATTTAAAATAATAAAATTTCTATAGACTATTTAACCTTTCGCTTTTGATTGAATTATTTTAGTCCATATATGATTAAGATTTGGTTTCTTTTTCGGATCAGTTAAATGTAATAAAAATACCTATAAAGAAGATGAAATTAATTAGAAATACTTCAAAAGATTAACATTTTCTATTTAACTTACTTCACATGGTTTACCTGTTAATGTTTGTAAACCTTCCACGCATCTTCCTATAAATAAATCGTCAAAGCAAAAATTCGTGAACCAAAAATCGATCGAAAATTTTGCCATAAAAGAATAGAAACATTTTGTTAAAATGTAGCTCGAACTCTGAACTGAATCTTGAGAGTGAGGGGGTGGCTATGATGAGATTGTAGACGTATTTTCAAGACAGACAATCTTCGTACCATTATTAGAAGAATTTGCTGATTGTGTGTAAACTACTATAGCTGCTCTTTTTGTCTTTGTCAAACTGATCTATCTAAATGATTCTTTTTTTTTGTAATATTAGCATATTAATATAATTAATGTTAATTCGCTTTTTATATTTCACATTTCGAACTGTTTTTCGAGAAAATATTTTTATTCTTTTATTGCAAAACTGTCGGTCAATTTTCGTGGAGGTAGATAAATCATTTATTAATAGTTATTCTACAAAGTAAACAAAATAAATTTTCATACCAGATTCAAGAGCCTTATAACTTCCGTGCAATTTTGCTAATGCTTTCTCAATTAATGATGCAAACAATTGTTTTTTCTGGCTTCGTGTGAAGACAAGTGAATTTGTTTCTGTTACAGGTAACATGTCATCGATAGTAACAACTTGCCAAATCCCGCGATTACATAAACGAATTTTATAAAGACCTAAAATAGACTCATCTAGATTATTTTTTTCATTAATATATTGATGCATTTACCAACTGGATTATATTGTTTTGTGATCATAACTTTATATAATATTTGTGGTATTTCAGCAATTAATGATAATGCAGAAACAAACCAACAATCACCAAGACGACCTTGATTTATATCTTTTGAATGTGGTTGATTGAATACAGATAATGAATATTGTTGAGCTTCCTTAGACCATCGAATTTGTTCAGGACGTAGCCTTAAGATAAAATGTATCATTAAAAATTTTTTAAATTAAAATTTACCATCGTGTTACATATGTTCCATATTGAAGATCATCCAACGATGTTCTTTCATTGTCTTGTGTAATACTTTCAGGTATAGGTAGAAATTCCGGATCAGAATATTTCCTATCAGTTATAGAAATATTATCAAAACCTGAAAATGATTGACCAATATGTTTATTTGATGAATAAAGATTGTCCACTTTAACATAACAAAAACAAAAAACGAATCATTATATAAATATCTTTCGAATAATTATCTTACTAGAAATTAAACTACGATCAACATTTAATGCTGATGAATTTGGTCTAGGAGTAAGATCTAAACTAATTGAAAATTTTGGCAAATTAGATTGATGAATATTAGCAGTGATTTTGTTTTGTATGTTCGTCCAATGCTCCATGTTTCGTATTAAATATTCAAATTATTTGTCAATGATTTAAATATATTCAGACTAGTTGACTGAGAATGAATGTGCCTTTTGCTTTCATCACAACTGCCCTATCCGTTAATCATCATAATCGTCACAGCTAAAAGAAGAGACAAGAACAATAGCGCAAAAAAAAACACGAAAACAAAGATTGAGAGAAATAGAGAGGAGTCAATCAGCATGGACAGAAGAATCTATACAGGTGTGCATAAGAAAAAAAAAGAAAAAAAAAGAATGATACGATTATGAAGACTGCTAAAATACCTGTGGATATATATGTTTGCACTACCATTCTTGTCTTCAACGACACTATCCTTGTAATGGTCTGAATTTTTCGTATTATTTGCAACTGTAGACAGCAGTTTTTTTTTATTTTCGGTTCATTCATACAGAACCAATATATATCGTTTTGTGTTTAATCCATTGATAAAAGAGGCAAAATCTAGCTATGTGAGCAGAGATAAAGATTCAACTCAGGCAATAAGATATAGGAATGTGAGGAAAAAATTCAGAACTACGCAGTACGAAAAAGCCAAGTTTATATTTTATGCATCCAATATGCGTGTTTATCAAGAGAAGGCTAATCGCTAATGAATGCAGTTTGAAGTGGTTGACACGAGCGAAGAAACAACCTGTTATAATCAGCATAGCGTGTTTCGATTTCTTCAATTGTGAGACCGTACTCATCAAGACTATATCTATGACGGCCTTGTTTGCCTTGAGGATTAGCCCGAAGCCAAGCGTTCATGGCCTTTTCGAATTCTTCTGACCACGAAAGGTTGAAATGATCGTATATTCGGCGCACAGTGGCTATTGGTTGTTCCGCTAAATCATTGTAATCAACATCAAAGATGGTCTTGTGTGGTGTACTGTGCGAGTGGAACGACCGAGTACGATATTCGACGATCCGTTCGATCATCTTATCAATGTGTTGAATAGCCCGTGTGGCCGATGTCGCACGAGCTAGAGAATCGTCTTTGTGAAAGTAAATATTGTCAAATATCCATGACATACGACAAAACGATGGCAGAACCTCATCCAAACGTCGATGTGTCATAATAACAGCTGCATCTGGGTATTGAGCGAAAAGCAAATCAAGATAAAGAGAGTGTTCTGGGGATTTTAATACCCAATGAGACTTCGGAGCATCTGCAATATTTAACATGCGTAAAAATGTCTTCTGATAGTCATATGTGAATGTTTTATTTTTTTCATCATATATCCATTTACCAATTTCTGTCTGAGTAAGAGCACTAAGATATACTAGTGTGATAACAACACCAGTCTGTTGTAAAACATTATAATCTTCTTCAATAATAAACTTTGGATGAGACTCGACTGTCACATGTTTACGACCCACTAGCTGTTCGCAGAGTTGTGTCTCATCTATTGTAGCAAGCATTCGTCGCTCGTGCTCAATTGTATTTGAACGTGGAATAGGTGGAGCGCACTCGATGCACATGTCCGTCAATAGCGGAGCACGACAATTAGGATCACAGGCAAGTAAATTGTGAAGTAATGTCGAGCCTGTGCGTGGAAGACCACATATCACTAATGGACCGGTAGTTGGCAAATCATGATTAAGAATTTCAGTATTTGCTGCCACATAATTGAGTACTCGCTTGCAATCTGCATGCAATTTAACGATGCGACGTAAGAGCAAGTGACGACCAACTTTTGTCAACAGGTAGTTCTCAAGTATAGTACGACGACATAATTCGAAAGCTTCTAAAATGTCTTTGTGATAGCTGAACCGATTTTTTGCTTCTTCAGTCAGATCATTTTCATGTAGAGTGATATCGTTCAGTAGTGGAGTATTTATCTGAATAACTTCATCGAGTTCTGCACTCATATTCTTCGTCTTGCTCACTATCTCAGACAAACTATGAAACGATCATGAAGCCAAATTGAAGATATACTAGTCAAGATATCAACGAACTTGTTTGTTGGCCAAATATACAAATTTCCGCAATCTATTTTCAAAAAGAAAAGCTTAGTAACGGTTTCTCGTTTTCAAATTTTGTCTGTAGCTTGATCCATTTATCATTAGATAACTACAATATTTTCAATAAAATGAATATTTATTTACGGAGATATTTAATTTTCAAAAACGTCGATTGCTATACGAAGGATACCTGTTTTGTATATACTCCTAGCCCTTATCAATTGGGAAAGAAAAATTCGATGTTTTATTGAATTTCGTGAACTGCAGATTAACATTCGATTCTCTAGGCAGTAGTGTTTACATTAGCATTCTAAAAGTTGACTAGGTTTTTCATATCTCAGTCATTGGCTGAGGGCTCAATAGAAAAAGAGAATATGAACAGAAATATTCATGACTCGGTTGATTCTAATTCAAATCTAAATGTTGTGGTCATTCAGAATCATAAGTAGGGATGCTATTCAAAAAGCATCTCTTGAGTAAGAAGTTTTGATTGCGCAATCGTATTTGGAGAGAAAAATAAAATATTGAAATTTATTCTCAATACGTGCAAAATTATAAATTTTTTCTTACTTTGACTGTATTTAATAATTTCAGACATGATTGCCTTCAAATCTAGCGTTATTATTCAGATTATTCGAATTGGTTCTCATCGACTTACCTTCACATATTATGCAGACTTCAGAATATGCAACAAGAGAACATTAATTTACTGCTTCAATTTCTGTATAATGAACGAAATCATTAATGTAACTAGTTGTAATATGCAAAGCTGAATGAGATCTGCGTGTGCCCCTATAATTTGGTACAATCGTATAAAATACTCATTCAAATAGTCATAACTCGAACACCGTGAGTGGTTGACACCCATTCGTGTTTTGTTCTATTGGTAGTGATATGAGCAAACAATAAAATTAATACCACCCACACCCTGAACTATGAAACAGGTATTTTACATGAAAAAATAAAAGATTTGTGTATTATTTAGACGAGACTTTTAATCAATAACAAGTTTCTGACGTGTATAAATAGAAATGTGTTCCATTCTATAGCTAGTATCAAGAAGAACATGCAGCTAACATTATTTTTCATCACATGCTTTTTGGTATCAACTTGTTTCTAAATATATTCGACATACTAGATTTCGTACGAGTGAACTCTGCCAGTTATGAAGAATCTTCGCTTAAGCCTCACCCCCCTCAGATCTGAGTTGTCACTTAGAAAGGTCCGTTTGAGCTAAAATTTTCAGGGATGACTGGTCTTCAATAGAAACAGTTGTGATAAAATTTCAGTTCGAAATATTGAACTGAGCCGAAAATATGACTTATTTACATACGAATTATGGCCACCAGGAGAACCCCTAAGGCTCTGCCAGTAGGAGAGCTATAAAAAGCGCGCTTGTTTTAAATTAAACCCAACACCAATACGCAACCTTTATCAGAACAGACGTTTAAAATTTGCTTTAGTTCATGTTTTGCAAGTATTTTACTCGAATAGGGGCCAAAATTTGGCTAAACATGGCCACCTGTTGATATTGAATCCGACTTTTCTAAGTTCAGGAATCAAATATAAAAAAATCTGATCGGACTAGGTTTTACTTGCACTTTGAGCTTCGAAATAAAAAAAAAAACATGTCGCGAATACCGCTTCAATTTTTGCGGTAAACCGCGGTAATTTTAGAAAAGCGGTAAATTTGTATGAAATGGGAGCCGGTAACCGGAGCGGTAATACCGCGGTTAACCGCTAGTTTTTCCGGTACCCTTTTTTTACCGTCATCATATAGGAAAAAAGATGCCTAAAATAGCCCGATCAATGTCTTTTAGCAACAATTTTTTATAAACGCTCAGCGAACCGGTTAATCGAAAAATACCGGCGGTAAACCGCGGTGTTTCCCGAAACCCCCGGTTTACCGCGGTAAATTTGTGTTGGTGGGAGCCGGTAACCGGAGCGGTAAAACCGCGGTAAACCGTCAATTTTACTTCGGTTTTTCCAACATGGGAAAGACCTTAATATCTTAAATCGCTTGAAACTATTATAGTTTCATTTTTTTCTGACAAAAAACCTTCTTTTGAGAAAAACAATAAATAATTTTAAGGGGGGCCGCGGTTCCTGGTTTTTCGATTTAATAGGCTCATCTGATCGAGAATATTTTTTTACGTATATCCTCCAGCTTTTACGTTTTTCTGATTTGTCTACCTAGAATTATAATCAAATCAAGAGCAGATTTTTTTATTAAAAGCTCACCCTGGGTGCATCTAGTATTAAACTGACTCTGTACATAAAGGAAAAGCGAAACAAAACTCTTTATATATGAATAGTTTACAAAAGGTTCCAGGGGTGGTCAATTTTTTTCGATTTTTCATCCGTATTCCCCCTTCAGGGATAGGGTGAGAAGTCATCATCGCCAAAAGCCCTTTTAACCTCTCAATTGAATGGAATCGATAGAACTATCATTTCTGCACATATGCATTGTATTTCTTCTTTCCTAAACGGATCTCTTTAATTACAGACAGCGATCTGTGAAGCAAGGTAAAACAAATCGTCGTCGGGTCGGGAACTTCTCTTTTTTTATTCGGAAAACATTTTTATGGAAAACAAACCTCATATTCGTGATCAGCGTACTGAATAAGCTATGTTTAGATCAAACTTCGGAAAAAAATAAAAAAATAAATTTAATTTTCGGAAGGGTAGCCAATGGAAAATGATTTTACAAGAAACAAAAATTTCTTTTTTCCAAAAGAAAGTACACTATTTTGTTCAGAATTTTATACTGATTCCAGCCCAGTGCTGTCACCTTTTGAAGTCCGAAAAGCAGAAAAAAAATTATAAATAGCAGAAAATGACAGAAATTTGTTTCTGGAAGAGCAGAAAAAAGCAGAAAGTATATTTGCGATATAAAGCTATTTGTAAGCTTTGTCCTTTCGTACTAATCAAGAACTTTCACAACAAATTTTGATGTTTATTGAATCAAGAAAAACAATTAATTAACAAATAAGTAGGATTATTGGAAGCATTCTTTTGGATGTATACTTCTCATTTGATTCAGTAGCTTTTAATAAACATCTGCTGAACATATCGTTTATCGATTTCTTCTTACTGGTTAACTCTTGATGATAATTACTGGGGATGCGCCAAGCCCAAATCCAGTCAAATTCAAATCCTAGATTCGACTGGGGCTGTCTAGATTTGATTTCGCTTTTGGATTTGAATTGGAGAGGGTTTGGCTCGAGTCGTATGTGATATACCTCCCAAAAATATTGTAGATTTTCGATATGAAAACGCATAAAATCTGACCAGATCTTTGTATCATTTTTATTCATTTTTTCTCGCTCTATTCCATAGTGATGCTAGATTTCGCCCCACATCAAAACAATTTCTAAAATTCGACAAGATTTGATGAAAAATGTGGACAAAAAAATCAGAACTTTAGTCAAATCTTAGAATTCTTTTAATGCTAGTCGAAATCTAGTATCCCTATTGAGCAGAGCGAGAAAAGCTGACTAAAAATTCTACTAAGATTTAGACAGATTTTATGAATTTTCACACCGAAAATCTACAATCTGTACGGGAGGTATGTCGCATCAAACTTGTTTTACTAATCATATTGATTATTGTATTCATCAAACTACAGCAAAAATTAATGTAAGCGAATTCAATGACTAACACAACATACGAAAGGAAGAAAAAACATGCGTAAAGGATCGATTGAAGACAAAAAACACACATTAGTGGTTGTTTGCACCTAGTAGAAAATAAAGATGATTTTTCTACAATTGAAAGAATTTGAATGGACCAAAATCGTCAGCAATTATTGATCACGATTCTTTTGTAATTATGGAAAAAGATCTTTGAGATGAAAAATGTTCGTTCAAAATATAAATAACGCAGTATAAAGAAAAGCATAAAAGACAGAAAAGAAGCAGAAAAACCTTCACAAAGCAGAATTTTTCTGCTTAAAGCAGAAGAGGTGGCAGCCCTGTTCCAACCATGTAACCACTTTTTCAGAAAATAGCTCGGTCAAAAAATGACCTTACCGCCACTTGTATTTTCTCGAAAAACAAGGTACGGTTTAGTATTTTTTCGATAAATGCCTTATTATCGAACCTTTTCTAAAAAACCTCTATATATTCTGAAAGAGGAGACTTTGAGGCATCTACCCATGATAAAAACTCAAACTTTGATCCTTTGAAAAAATCGACTTTTTTTTAAGGGGCGGGGGCTTAATATAACCAATGAAAAATATTCACTGATTTTAATCGGATTTTTGTACAACACAATCAAAAAATAAAATCGATCGATAATTTTTATTATTATTGATCCTCTATAGATAATTCATAACAGTCAAGAAAAACTCTCAGCACTATTCCATATACTTGCGCTAACGAATTATCGCGTGAAGAATCGTTAAATTTATTTAACGCGTTTTAACAGGTTAATTATAGAAATTTAACGTGTGTTTACGGTCAAAAAGGTAACATATTTTATCGTTAAGACATTAAATCTTCAATGATTTTTCACGTAAGGATGCTTCGTTAAATTAATAAAATCTTTTGCATGATTAGTGTGGACAATAGAAGTTTAATGAACGACATCAGTTTAGTCACAGAGTTTTTTGTAATATGAAAGTAGCGAAAAAATATAAAATTTGTACGATTCCACTGCAATAAACTATTTCATCGGCCGTTGATGAAATTTGCATTTTCG